GCGGGAGGGATGATGGTGTGTTGATTGTGGGACTTGAAATCAGGACCTAGGCATTGTTTCTAAGCTTCTTTGCTGAAAGATAGTGCTACCACTTGAGCTACAGTTCCATTTCTGGTGTTTTACTGGTTAGTTAAAAATAAGAGGCACCAGGTGCCAGTGGCTCACACCTGTAATCCTAGCTACTCAGGACGCTGAGATCTGAAGATCGAGGAGAGTCTGTGAGACTCTTATCTGCAATTAACTACCAGAAAACCAGAAGTGGCACTGTGGCTCAAGTGGTAGAGTGCTTGCCTTGAGCTGAAGAGCTGAGGGACAGTGTCTAGGCCCAGAGTTCAAGCCCCATGACCAACAACAACAACAAAAAAGAGTCTCTTAGGGGCTAGGAAGGTGGCTCAGTGGTAGAGTGCTTGCCTTGCATGCATGAGGCCCTGGGTTTGATTCCTCAGTACCACATAAGCAAAAAGAAAAAAGCCGGAAGTGGCGCTGTGGCTCAAGTGGTAGAGCACTAGCCTTGAGCTGAAGAGCTGAGGGACAGCGCCCAGGCCCAGACACCAAAAAAAAAAAAAAAAAAGAGTCTCTCAGATTTGTCTGCCCAGGCTGGCTTTGAACCAGGATCCTTAGGTCTCTACTTCCTGAGTAGCCAGGATTACAAGTGTGCACCAACAGCACCCAGCAAGGTTAAAATTTATCTATTCAAATACTATAAAGTATGGTAATTATGGATGTCAACATCAGATTATCTCTAAGAGATCTGAAAATGAGACTGGGGGAGGAAACAGGAGAATTTCAGATCTGCTTTGCAGATTTTGTTTCCTCTAGGATTAAAGGTGCTTAAAGGAAGCTGTTGATCAATAGGGGGCTGGAGGAGAGAGGAAACAGAAACAGGGGTCTGCTATACTAGTAAATACTAGTACAAAGAGGAGGTTCGGCTAATGGGGGTTAAAGAGGATGAATACAGTGAAAACATTGTTCACATATATGAAAACAGAACAATGAACCTTGTTGAAATTGTATTAGGAAGGGGTGAGGAGATAAGGGAGAGTGATGGGGGAGTTGATTGCAATATACTGTATACATGTGTGTAAATGAAATTTCCCCATGTACAGCTAATATATACTAATAGAAAATGAAAAAAAAAAGATTAAAGGTACTAATCTGAAATAAACATGTTAATGTTTACACAGGTTAGTCCTGGATTTGGGGTATGTGATGTTTCATGACTATTTCACCTTATTTTTCATTAAAAAAATCTCTCAATCAGCAATTGAGATTTTAAAAACGGTAATGAATTCAGTAACAATTTCACCTGTCACTCATATTTATTTTCTATTACATTTGCAATGCAATGTTTTATTTAACCAAGTCCATTGCTTTGGGTATCTAATTTATGTGATGATCATTCAAAGCCCCACTGTAGCTTGTTAGAGGAGTAACTCTAAAGTGATACCTTGGGGGTGGGATTTTGCTAAAGGCGAAACAATGGTTTATACTTTTAGATGAGAATAAATTATAGCCTCATAAAATACACTTACTAATGAATCAAAGAGGAAATTAAGGGCAGTATATAAAACCCAAATTCAGACTAGTAAAATGGGATTTTTTTTTTTTGGAGATTTTCAAGGAATGATAGTAAATCTTTAGAATTGCAGCAAAAAGCAAAATTCCATGTGGTATTTAATAACCAAAATCCAGCCTTGATATCTATTCCTCCCAGGGAGATTTCTGCTGTTTGCATTAAAAAAAAAAAAAAAAAAAAAGTGGCAGAGGCCAAAAAAAAAAATCAAAGACAAATCAAGGAAGCTGATAATTGCTTTAAAGATGAATGTTTTGCATACTGAGACAAAAGATATTATGGGTAGCTTACTGCTCACTCAAATGATTAAAAAAGAAAACATGATGAGTGTTTTTGACACTTTGTTCTGAAGGACTACAAAATCATATTGTAGTAAGAACATAGTTTTGAAAATGATTCTGGTTTTTCACAATATCATTTATACTTTGAATATCTAACTAATATAAGATCATGTTTTATCATTTATTCACATTCTTAACCATGTTTTCAGTGCTTTGGTTAGAACCACTAACACTTCATGTTTTGCTGGCATGGGCAGCTGACAGATTACTTTTTTTTTTTTTTTTTTTTGGTCAGTCGTGGGGCTTGAACTCCGCCTGGGCGCTGTCCCTCAGCTCTTCAGCTCAAGGCGAGTGCTCTGCCACTTGAGCTACAGCTCCACTTCCGGTTTTTCTGGTGTTTATTGGAGATAGGAGTCTCACGGTCTCTCCTGCCTGGGCTGGCTTTGAACCGCGATCCTCAGATCTCAGCCTCCTGAGTAGCTAGGATTACAGGCGTGAGCCACGAGCACCCGGCTCAGATTACTTTTTATCACTACTGATGGTTAACTATTCAGAAACTTGTTTAGACTGTGAGTCTCATAAAAATAACTTAAGAGTTGTGCATTATTCAATTTCTATAGTACTCTCTTCATCAAAGATGATCTTAAACAACCACAGTATTATCAAAATGTAAACTTGGGACTATACTGTGCTCTGTAAAGAATCAAAGTCAAGCTGGGCACCAGTGGTTCATACCTATAATCCTAGCTGCTCAGGAGGATGAGATTCAAAGCCAACCCAGGCAACAAAGTCCATGGGAATCTTATCTCCAACTAAGCACCAAATAAGCCTTAAGTGGAGCTGAGGTTCAATTGGTAGAGCCCTAGCCTTGAGAACAAAAACTCAGGGACAGCACCTAGGCCCTGGGTTCATGCCCCAGGACCTGCAGGAAAAAGAAAAAAAATCAAAGTCAACTGCATTAGGCATCTGTCTTTACCAAAAGCATATGCTAATGGCTTGCTGGAACACAGCAAACCCAAACTGGAAAGGCTTTGTTATGATGCAGAAATATCACTAAGGGGCCAGTATGGCCAATATCATTTCTAACGCAAATTAAAACACTAAGATACATAGTTTTGTTTTGTTTTGTTTTTGTCAGTCCTGGGGCAGGAACTTGGGGCCTAGGCACTGTCTCTGAGTCTCTTTGTGCTCAAAACTAGTGTTCTAACCCCTTGAACCACAGCATTACTTCTGGGCTTTTTGAGTAATTCATTAGAGATAAGAGTCTCATGGAGTTTCCTGCCCAGGCTGGCTTCCAACCGTGATCCTCAGATCTCAGTCTCCTGAGTAGCTAGGATTATAGGTGTGAGCCACCAGAGCCTGGCTAAAACAGTTTTTAATCTTTCTTTTAAGGAGGTACCAAAGCAGGTAGGAAAAAGAAATCAAGATAGAAAGTAAAAATGAGGAGGGAGGAAAAGTGGGGGAAAAAGGGAGGGTTAACACTTCAATAAGAAAAGTACTCATTACTTATGTAAGTGTAATCCCCTCTGTATACCACTTTTTACAATAAAATAAAAAAAAATTAAATTTTATTTAAAGGGCTTGGAATGGGCTTAGTGGTAGAGTGCTTGCCTAGCATTCATGAAGCCCTGGGTTCAATTCCTCAGTACCACATAAGCAGAAAAAGCCAGAAGTGGAGCTGTGGCTCAGTGCTAGCCTTGAGCCCAGAGAGGCTCAAAGTCAGTGCCCAGGCCCTGAGTTCAAGCTCCAGGACCAGCAAAAAAAAAAAGAAAAAAAAGAAAGTAAAAACTATCTGGATTTACTTCCTTTTTTTTTTTTTTTTTTTTTGTCGGTCGTGGGGCTTGAACTCTGGGCCTGGGTGCTGTCCCTCAGCTCTTCAGCTCAAGGCGAGCGCTCTACCACTTGAGCTACAGCGCCACTTCCGGTTTTCTGGTGGTTTATTGGAGATAGGAGTCTCACGGTCTCTCCTGCCCGGGCTGGCTTTGAACCGCGATCCTCAGATCTCAGCCTCCTGAGTAGCTAGGATTACAGGCGTGAGCCACCAGCGCCCGGCCTGGATTTACTTCTTATACCCACTACATGATTCTGGACATGTTACTCTACGAAACTTGAATGAAAGTCATACTGGGTCAATGTAAACATGCAAGTGAAAATAACAAGGCTTAAACACCTAGCAGACTTTCAATAAATATTAACTTCTTTTCCTTAGAGTATTGCAAGAATGAGTCTTCAGTTCTAACTTGAAAATTCTTAAGCTGGTTGCTGACAGCTCACGCTTATAATCCTAGCAACTCAGGAGGCTGAGATCTGAGAATCAGGGTTCAAAACCGGCCCAGGCAAGAAAGTCCATGAGACTCTTATCTCCAATAAGCCACCAGAAAACCGGAAGTGGCACTGTGGCTCAAGTGATAGAGGGCTAGCCGTTAGCTGAAAAGCTCAGGACAGCATGACCCAGAGTTCAAGCCCCATGACCAACAAAACAAACAAACAAATAAAAATTCTTAAAGTGAACTATGCCTGTACCAGGGGCTTAGTCTACCATGGATCATTTCTGTGTTTACCATGCTAGATCTCTGATCTGTATCCTGGGGTTTCCTAAATTAAGTAAGCACAAAGTCAATGGAAGTCTAAAATATCATCAAGGCTTCTAAGCTCTTAAAGTGACCAGAAAACAATGAGCTTCATTTCTAAAAATCTCTCTAATTGCTATTGGTAGTTAAGTAAGTACATGGATTCAGATTCCTTATAATCAAATTCCAACTATGGCTTAAATGACACATTTATTTTCCTTTCTAGCTTCCTGTTATCTAGGAAGATTAATTACAGGCCCACTGGGCATCATTCCTTGAAATGTAACCACACAATGTACTACCACTGTTTATCAACACTTCTTTATATTAATACAAGCCAACAAGACAACTCAAGAGTAGGAAACATAATCGGCTTTGAGGTTGCTTTAGCCATTGGGAACCCTGGATGGGCACCCTAACTTCTCTGAACTTCAGTTTCTACATCTGTAAAATGTGGACAATAGTCTATTTCTCATGCAATTATTGAAATGAAATGAAATAATGTTATTCAAACTACTGCTATCTTAAAATAAAAGGAAGGCTAAAGAGAAAACGGAGAAAAAAATAAATACAGACCATGTTTACTGCATCTTGATCAAATGGGTTCCATTCTATGTTCTGAGGATAGTGTGCCAAAACTTTGGATTTGAATGTTCTTCTCAAAGGACTCTGGTCAAAATTTTCACCTACAACAAATAATAATTGATAAATAACTGACTTCCTCAGTACTATCTCCATTGTTTTATAATTATTTGCATATATAGATATATATTTATAGAAATATATTTGCTGACTTTGCTGAAATGCAAATTAAGTTTCTAACTCTGCTAAGAGTTGTCTAGTGGACAACTAGAAAACAAGTAAAATAAGAAATCTTCACTTAACAGTTTATACTCTGAATTTTTAAGTCTTAGCTATACAATCAACATTAAACATCAAAACATGGTAATATAATCACTGTGATCATGTAATTACCATAATCATTTTAACATACACTAAAGAAACATTGATGGAACCTCTTCATAGGCTGATAAAGTTTAATATACAGACCCAATGCTTCAGTCACAGAAAAGGCAATTTTATTCGTGTTACAACAAAAATCTCTGGTACATATGGCTTTATATCCAGGCTCCTCAGCAATGGACAAGATTATGAATATCACTGCTGAGTTTGCCAGTAGACAGACATATTAGATAAACTTCCTAAAAGAAATGAGCTAACCAAATTCATTATCTGTCAAAAGTTCTGAAAAGATAAAAATGTACACTGTTTTACATAAGAAAACTCAGTAACAGCTATCAGATCAGTTCTTTATCTTCTTAGTCAAATGAATTCCATTATTAATTCTGTTATTTCCAAATGCCTCAGTTTCAGAAAACATTTTCATGTGGATGATCTTACATTTCTAATGTCAAAAAGTTGAGGGCAGGCACCAGTGGCTCACACCTATAATCCTAACTACTCAGGAGGCTGAGATCTGAGGATCACAGTTCAAAGCCAGCCCAGGTAGGAAAGTTTGTGACACTCTTATCCCCAATTAACCACCAGAAAACCAGAAGTGACACTGTTGCTCAAGTGATAAGAGTGTTTGCCTTGAGCTGAAGAGCTGAGGGGCAGCACCCAGGCCCAGAGTTCAAGCCCCATGACTGACCAAAAAAAAAAAAAAAAGCTGAGATCAAGGAATTGGAAGACCTTGAAGTAATTTCAATCTGTGTCCTGCATTTTTCTATTTTTCTAAATTGGAATAAAGTGTAAACTACTAATTTACAGCAAAATATAAATGTAATTTACCAGTACTTGCACAATTAAGAACACTGCAAAGCAATCTAACTTGTAAGTGATATGCTGACATCTTGTTAAACTCAGTTTCCATTTTGGGAAAAATATGAAGACAGATACTAAAACACCTTTAAGTGAGTGCAAAACTTAACAGATAACAGGAGGGAAAAGTCACACTTGAAAATCTTGTTGGAGACTTCAGTATGAAATAGAAGATTAAAAAAAAAAAATAAGGACACATAATTTAAATTTATTTGCTAAGGTAAAGAAACTACTGCTTCCGGGCTGGGAAGGTGGCTCAGCGGTAGAGCGCTTGCCTTGCAAGCCTGAGGCCCTGGGTTCAATTCCTCAGCACCACATAAGCAAAAAGAAAAAAGCCAGAAGTGGCGCTGTGGCTCAAGTGGTAGAGCGCTAGCCTTGAGCTGAAGAGCTGAGGGACAACGCCCAGGCCCAGAGTTCAAGCCCCACCACCGGACCCCCCCCAAAAAAACTACTGCTTCTAATGGAAGTCTGTGGCTAATGATCATTTTCCTTGCGATTTTTCTGTTTCATTTAACCAAGGACCACATACATCATTGCTCTATCTTTTTTACTGCACAGTCCCATTTTTTAAGACTTGAAAGCTTTTACTTCCATAAGAGAAAGTGCCGGCAGCATTCCTAAGGAGGGTACCCCTTTTTGCAGTAGCTCTTAGGTTCCTGAACATCAAAAGGTCAGTGGATAAATGGGAAACAGTGTGGCTGAGGACAGAGACAGTTTAGCGCTGTAGACTTGTGGATAAATGACATCCCCAGGCTTATGCTAGATTTTCCCATAACACTAAGAAGGTTTAGATTATTTGTAAGAAAAAAAAAAAAGGTTACATTCTACTCACCGTGAGTTCATGGGGGAAAAAAAAAAAAAGAAAAAAACAATCTCCTGGTTCTGAGTGTGTGGGCAGTCTGCATATTTTTGGAAGCCTTGTCCTACACACACCACTAATGACAGAAAATGCTTCTTATCATCCATAAATAGAAGAAAAATACCAAACACAATAGAAGCAGGTCATAACTGACACCAACCCAGGTTATGAATCCTTATAACACTTACCTTTCAATGAGTTTTTGCCTGTCTGATTTAAAATAGTAACATTATCTTCACTTATATGTCAAGGAATGAATGGGACAGAAGAGAAAACAGAGAAAGCATGACAGTTTCATTGTCACTGTAATTGTTCTGTTACATAAGGAACATCATACCTTTTTGAAGCACAATGAATCAATAAGAGAGAAAAAAGGAAATTACCTCCAGAAAGAATCTCACAAAACCAGAAAGCCTACAAAATACCAACAAGAGAAATAAACCACCACCATCACCAACTCCAGCAGCAGCAAGCAGCACCAGTACCACCACCATCTCTCATACTTAAAAAAGGGAGCACAAGGAAAGATCATTGTTATATATTCAGCTGTCTTGACAAATAATACTTTGAAGGAAATTAAGAATCTATACTTATGAATTCTGCTATCACTGGTAAGGACTGAGAAATGAGTAATACAGCTCAATCCTCAATAAGGGCTAGTACCAGCTAGCAAAGAGTCATGGAGATGTCTTTTAGGCAAAGCTAGAGAGGAACAACCTATTTCCATGTTGAATGCTAGGTTTATAAAATTGTAGTTTAAAATTTACTGCCAGGAGTAAGCAAGAAAAATGACTATGTTTGGGAATTTAAATTTCCAGAAGTAGAAATTATACAACATTCCTTATTGAAATTTACCTTTTAGATACTGTCCTGAAACAAACAAGGACCAAACAAACTTGTACCAATCTTAATATCCATGTGAGGCTCTGGGTTCAAGTCTCTACACTGCCAAAAAATTAGCTCCTTAATTAATATCCTTGCTGTAAATTAGACATAAACATAAATCCTGCTGGGTAACCTATAATCATAACCTACAGATTAAACCCTTCATCCTAAGAAAGTAGGAAACATATGTCAAGACAGCTGAAAGCCTAGCGAATATATTTTTTCAAGCCTGGAAGCAAATGAGGTCTTTATGCAAATTAGGGTGCAGATAATAGAACAGAATAAGTAACTGTAAGTTTGTCCAAGCAAAACAGAATAAAGCAACATTTCTAAACTGGTATGGAGTGAATGAAGATAATAATGACTTCTAGTACTAGTTCTTTTCTAACTTATTTTTACCTGAAGTCGTATTTGCAGCATCTTGGCTCTTGCCATGGCGATCTGCTTCTAGCCATTGGTACAAAACTACATGATGTAACAGAAACAAAAAGCTTTATGAACAAAGAAACAAAAACAAACATGAAAAAGCAAAATGGCTGTGAAGAATGGAAAATGAGAATACAAAAATTAAGCAAAAGCAATTCAACATGAGACCAGGAGACATTCACTTCAAGATCACTGTAATATAGCTTATAAACTACAAGTAGTAAGAGAAAGCAAAGAGAATGAGTCATTTTTAACACAGTAAGTGAAATGCCGCTTTAACATCTGTAATAGGTATCTGTGTGGGAAAAAGCACACCTATATTAAAGCTAATTTCAAAAAAAATATCAAGAGAAAGTTAGTGTCTCTGTGAGATATAATGAAGTATGACAGTAAGAATAAATGACTAGGGAGGGATGGGAAGGTGGCTTAGTGGCAGAGTGCTTGCCTGGCATGCATGAAGCCCTGGGTTCAACTTTTCAGTCATAAACAGAAAAAGACAGAAGTGGTGCTGTGGTTCAAGGGGTAGAGCTATCCCTGAGCAAAAGCAGCTCAGGGACATGGTCCAGGTCCTGAGTTTTAGCCCCAGGACTGGTTAAAAAAAAAAAAAGAATAAATGACTAACTTTAAGAAACGTATTCAGGCCAGGTATGGTGGCTCACATCTGTAATTACAGTTACTCAGAAGCACTGAGAGGACTATATTTCAAGACCAGGCAAAAACAACAAAACTTCACTTAGTAATCTGAGCATGGTGGTACATGCCTGTAATCCCAGCTATGTAGGAGAATCATGGTCTAAAGCTGGTCCTGGTCAGTAATTCAGGACCCTAACTGAAAAAAACTTAAGTGATAAAGAGCTGGGTTATGTGTGACTCAAATGGTAGAGCACCTACCTAGTGAGCATGAGACCCTAACGTCAAACTCTAGAACTGCTCTCCCACCAAAAAAAAAAAAAGAAAGAAGGAAAGAAGGAAGGAAGGGAGGGAGGGAGGGAGGGAGGGAGGGAAGGAAGGAGGGAAGGAAGGAGGGAGGGAAGCAGGGAGGGAAGGAAGGAGGGAAGGAAGGAGGGAAGGAAGCAGGAGGGGGGGGGGCGGCAATTGTATCCCAACCACTGCACACCTATTATTGTTTAAGTTCAAAAACCTAAATGTGCCAAATGCTGACAAGGATGTGGAGTGAGAAGGAATCCCATTCATTGTTGACAGAAATGCAAAATGTGAGGGCCACTTTGAAAGACAGTTTGGCAAATTCTTATAAGGGTAAACACAATCTTGATACACATAATCCCATAATTTCAGTCTATTATGAGTAAAACACCAAATTCCAAGAGGGACAACTATAATATACCTGTAGGTTCTCATCAAAACTGTGAAAGACATGGAAAACAACAAAAGCCTGAGAAACTGTCACAATCAAGACAGCTAGGACAATAACTAGAGAGATAAAATTTCTGAATATAATACTGTATATTAGATTCAATCCTCCAAGAGAGAAAGGACATTAGGTAAGACTAAGAAAATCTAAATGAGATACATTGAGTTAACATTAATGCATCAATACTGTACCACACTACTACAAAACATCAATAATTGGTAAACTACATGTGATTGATTATCTCTTTTTCTGTAAATATAAAACTACTATAGAACAGGTATGTATACTGCAAAAGCTACGTTTCAAAGTTGGATATGAGAGTGAATCTAATTGGCAGTCCCTGCTACGAATTTCCAATACAATGAGACCTCATCACTAAAAACAACAAACCTCCACTTATATCTGAATATTCAAGATAACTTCACACATTATATCAAATCTTATAATCAGCATTTCATAAATATATGAATTTTTTTAGTCTAATACCAGAACTTGACAAAAACTTGGAATCTAATGCTTTCTTTTACTGGCTGGTGGTCTACTACCTAAGCCATACATCCAACACCTCATAAATAATTTTGTACAAACATAAGGGTGGGCATGGGGGTATTATGCCTGTAATCCTAGCACTTGGGAAGCTGAGGCAGGAAAATCTCAAGTTTGTGGCCAGCCTAGGATACATAGCAAGACTGCCTCAAATCAGAACAAAACTAAAGCCAGGTGCCAGTGCCTTAGGCCTATAATCCTAGAGACTCAGGGAGCTGAGATCTAGGAATTGAGGTAATGAGCCAGCTATGGCAGACATATCTAAAAGACTCATCTCTGACATTAACCAGCAAAAAGTCAAAAGCAGAGATGTGGCTCAAGCAGTAGTACAGGCTTTGAGAGAAAAACCAAGCAAGAACACAAGGCCTGAGTTCAAGCCCAGTACTTTACTCAAAGCTGGCACTCTACCACTTGAGCCACACCTCCACATCCAGTTTTTTACTGCCTGCTGTGGCTCCTAACCAGAATCCTCAAATCCTCTCGAGTAGCTAAGGTGACAGGTTTGAGCCACCAATGCCCAGCCTAAACTAAACTTTTAGTTAACTAGCGTTTAAAGTTCAGTTCCTTTCTTGCATCAGCCACATTTCTGGTTGCTACTATATTACAAACAGAGAATAGGGTATTTTCATCAAAACAAAAAGTTCTATGGGCAATGGTAATTTAGAAGCTTGAGTAGATCTGAGTATTTATTTATTTATTCTTTCTTTTGGAGAAGGCAAGACTGCTTCCTAAATAGGGCTGTGTGCCCCCATTAGAAGTCACATGTCCAGGATTCCATTTAATTACCTAGACTCAGTTTTTGAATATGCAGGCCAGATAAATGTTTGATTCTTTTTTGTCAATGACTCCTTATCTCACTGAAGGAACGCTTTTTTTTTCTCCTGGGATCTTGTTCCTTTACAGCCAGATCACTGGTGGTCCAAATATACTTAATCACTTTCCTCACTGGTAAGAGAAAAAGAATCTCTCCCACATGGGAGTAACATCTTGATTCTAACAAAATGACAACTCTGTATCTGAGGAAGAATGAATTCTGTACAGGTTTTTCCAAATGACCGCCTGGTCCTAGGAACAATGAATGCAGTCACAGAAACATTTCCTTAAACTCATTGTTATTTTTCCACTTACGATTTTCTTTTGTTTTCTCTAAAATTTGGCAATGTGTTACTGTTCTCAGCTATAAGAGTAAAGAGAGGCCAGTGAGTAAAATAGAAGCTGTATTCCCAAAGTCAAGCATAGTGAGGACAGCAGATTGGTGAGATCTCAAGCAGAGGGCTGGGAAGGTGGCTCAGTGGTAGAGCGCTTGCCTTGCATGTATGAGGCCCTGGGTTCTATTCCTCAGCACCACATAAGCAAAAAGAAAAAAGCTGGAAGTGGCGCTGTGGCTCAAGTGGTAGAGCACTAACCTAGAGCTGAGGGACAGTGCCCAGGCCCAGAGTTCAGGCCCCACGACCAGACCCCCCCCCCCCCCCAAAAAAGAGAGAGATCTCAAGCAGAGGGGAGCTTAGCAACAACATTATTATAGGTAGAGCTGGGTGCTGGTGGCTCATGCCTATAACCCTAACTACTCAGGAAGCTGAGATCTAAGGATCAAAACCAGCACAGATAGAAAAGTTGTGATACTCTTATCTCCAATTAACCAGCAGAAATCTGGGAGCAGAGCTGTGGCTCACGTGGTAGAGCACCAGCCTTGATCCAAAAACCTAAGGGAGGGCACCCTAGTCCTGAGTTCAAGCCCCAGTACTGGCATATAAGCACACACATATGCACACACAGGAAAGGAAGGGAGGAAGGGAGGAAGGAGGAAGGAGGGAGGGAGGGAGGGAGGGAGGGAGGGAGGGGAAAAAGAGAGGGAGGGAGAGAGGAGAGAGAGAGAACGAAAGGAAGAAAGAAAAAGAAAGAGAATGGAAAGAGAGAGAACAGAAAGAGAGAAAGGAAAGAGAGAGCGAGAGAGGGCAGGTGGGTGGGCAGGCAGGCAAAAAGGGGGAGGCAGGCAGTTATTAAGAATGCTTGTTTGTCAGCCACCTCTATAGATTTCCTCTTCTACTGTTCCCTACGCATGTTTCATTTCCATAGTATTCTATCTTTGCTTGTATCTTCTTATTCTATCTATACATGCTAGCTTCTGCTAATACTCATATCATGACTTTTCAAATATACTTATTTCCACCCTGATTCTCTTCAGGCCAGCATTTCTACTGCCTATTGGAAACCTCTACCACAAGCTCCAAATCTCCAAATATCTAAAAGTGAATCACTCCTATATCTCCTAGACTATTTCTTTTTCCTCTGATCCTTGTGCCAATTAATGACACAAATGTGGGGCTTACTGGCCCTACTCTTGCACAAGGCTGAGGAAAGTACATTAGAATGAACGATGTCCTCCTTTAGCATAAGAATCATGTTCTATGATGACGGGTTTCATCATGTGGAAAATGAATCTTAGTGTTCAGTTTCCAGAGCATAAATACATGATGACTCAGCCATATGTGATGCTTGCTGGGTAAGCTATTTATGCCTTTCTGTGTTTTCCAGAAAGGAAAATGGCAATGACAAGTGAATTTTTATGTCATAAAACAGTAAATATGCTGGGAGTTAGCTCAGTGGCAAAGCATTTGTCTTGCAAGTGCAATGTCTTGGGTTCAATTCCTCAGTACACACACACACACACACAAAAAGACAGTAACTGGCTGAGAAAGTGGCTCAGTGGTAGAGCGCTTGCCTTGTATGCATGAGGCCTGGGTTCGATTCCTCAGCACTACATAAGCAGAAAATGCCGGGAGTGGTGCTGTGGCTCAAGTGGTAGAGCACTCGCCTACAGCTGAAGAGCTGAAGGACAGCACCCAGGCCCAGAGGTCAGGCTCCATGACCAACCAAAAAAAATAAATAAACAGTAAATATGATGACTTGATTATTTATTTGAGACAGGGTTTTTATCCAGGCTGGTCTCTAACTCCTGGTCTCAAGTGAGTCTCAGCTTTCTGAGCGCAGGAACTAAAGGCATGTTCTACCATGCCCAGTTTCTATAAAGGTAAAATCCTTGTATCCATTTTTAACTCCCCCCTAAATGTTATGAAAATACTTTTCAAGAATAAGTAAGCATGACCGCAAGAGTATTTAA